AGTTAGTCACCGCCTGCAGGCAGGGCTGTCGTGAGAGCCGCGCTGCAGGCACCAGCCGGCTCTCCCCTCCCCTCCCGGAGCCTCAGGCTGCAGCTCCTGCAAGCCCCTCTGGCGAGGGACCTACTCTGCTGCTGGGCTGTATTGGCAGAGCTGCGAGCCCGGCACCCCCACGAGCCTCTCCTGCCTCCGCCTGCTTGTTTGAAAGGTGCTCGGGGATATTAAGCGCGTTTGCTGCCCTTTCCGGCTGCGCTCCGAGGTCTTCAGCCAGAGGCGAGGGTGCAGCGCACCCACCACCTCCTCGGGATGGAGAACTCTGCCCAGAGAAGCCGGGCGGGCAGGGACCTCCAGGTCTGGGACAGACACTGCATAGACTGGTTTGACCCAAATCTGTTAAATCCATGAACACCGCGTGCCCCTGGAGGCTGGGGGGCCACAGCGAGCTCCCGCGGGCGGCGGTGAGCTCCTGCAGGCAGCCGTGGTGCTGTCAGTGCAGGCGGGGGAGGGGGCAAGCGCCAACTCAGGGGGTGCATGGGCACCCGCATGCACACCCTACGTGTCACACTCACCAGCATACACCCCACCAGTGGTTAAATTAAAACAGGTTTATCTTAAACCATTTGGGCTATTTTGAAATCAGTTTATGTGCCCTGAGCTTGTTTTGTTATAGGTTTAAACCAGTTTCTGATCACTTCATCTGGTTTACGCAGTGATGATGTGGAGGGGGGTGCACATGCACCCCCTGAGAGCACTGGTGCACTCCCTGATGGGCAACGTGGGGGCAGGCAAAAGCACTGGTGCCCCCCCGAGAGCACTGGCTGGGGAGTGGGGGTGCCAGGAGAAGCAATCCCCGCAGTCCCCCCACAGCCGATCGCGATGACTGGGGGAGGGGGGGTTTCCCCCACAGCCAATTGCCCTGACCCACGCAAGTGCCCCCCTGACTCAGGAGGCACCAGTCACCCATGGGTTTATGTGCAACTTCTGTCCCTAAGGCCAGAGGGCAGGGGATCCTAGACAATGGGGGCTGGAAGGGACCTCAGGTGGTCACTGTGTCCAGCCCTCTGCTCAAAGCAGGGCCAGCCCCAACTACCTTGTCCCAGCCAAGGCTTCATCTGCCTGGGGCTTGGAAACCTCCAAAGATGGCGATGCCACAGCCTGTCTGGGTAACCTGTTCCAGTGCTCTATTACCCTCCTCATGTGAAAGTTTCATAATATCTTCCTCTGCCAGATGAAGGGTAATTGTCCCAAATAGCTTGCGCAGAAGAATTTACAACTATTTGAGTTGGTCTAATAAAAGATATCAGATTTACCCAAAGAACCTTGTCTCCCTAATATCTAACCTAAACTTCCCTTGCTGCAACCTGAGACCATTGCTCCTTGTTCTGTCATCTGTCACCACTGAGAACAGTCCAGCTCCATCCTCTTTGAACCCCCTTTCAGGGAGTTGAAGGCTGCTATTATTTCAGTCTTCTCTTTTCCAAACTAGTTTTCTCAGCCTCTCCTCATAATTCATATTCCCCAGCCCTCTAACCATTTTCTAGTCATCAGGTTAACTACTCCAACCCCCTTCCTGAGGCAGATCACCCCTTTCCAAACCATCCCATACATGGGATATGCTGTAATTCTACCACATCTTTCAGAATGTGCTTTAACTTAAAAGGCAATGCTGTTCATAGTTTTAATGATTAAATGCTTAGCAAAGGGAAGGAGTGTGTTCTGCTTCATTTCTTCAATTTTTTGGAGATTAAAAATACTCAGTATTGGCTGGGATGATCTAGTTGTGGCTGGTCCTGCTTTGAGCAGGGGGTTGGACTAGATGAGCTCCTGAAGTCCCTTCCAACCCTAACTTTCTGTGATTCTATGGACAAGACACAGAAGAAGACAAGGTCCTGTTTCAAAGAGCTCATCAGCTGAGGAATGATATTTCAAACATTCCCAAGTGTAACATAGTGTAAATATGCAGAGTTACCTCAGCTATGCAGCTGATCCTATAAAAGTTATCACCCTAAGAAATCCTCACCTCTCGCATAATTCCCTTACAGCCACAGCTACATCACTCTGACACAATGTCTAATCTTAATAACTGAATTTTTTTTGTTGGCTTGATCAGGCATCTCTTGAAATAGACTTTTTGGGCCCTGGTCCTGCAACAAGCTTTTCAAGAAAGCAGGCTTTCAGGTATAGTGTCCTATTTACTTCATTAGGATTTTGGGAGGAATTTAAGTCTATCCTAGGAGATCTTAGTATGGGGATTGAGATGTTGCTGTGGTAAATGGCTTGGGACTGGATGGATTATAGCTCTGCAGTTTTGCACCAGTATAGCTCTGTATGATATAGGTAACTTTAAAAACCCAGTTCTGGTTCCACAGATCAATGAGATTCAATGGGAATAGAAGTGGTCTATTAATCTAAAATGAGCACTACATCATGTAATCATAACTTCAGTTACTTTAAAGGTAAAAGCTAAGTACAGTGGACTACAAAATCAGCATGCTTCCTGATATGTTGACAATGTAGTATTGTATTTTTCTCCTAGATAAATTTTTAGGAGGCAAAGTGAAATTCTGTTTTTGTAGTGACTAGTGAAAATTATGTTGGCTGTCTCAATAGGTTTAGGCTTGACTTCTACTTTGAGATTTGGTACACAGGACTTCCACCAAAATAAAGTCAATATTAAAGTATGCTTAAAATGTAAACATTGGATCTATTTCCCCAATCATATCCTCAACAATTTCCTTTGACCTTAGTAGGAGCCTGCACAAAAAAGTGGTTTTGGATTTGGGTCCAAGGTGTTCTTCCTGATTGGTGGCATGTGATAGACATCCTAAATTCATTTTAAATAGTGCTATTTAAATAGAAATCATTGATGCTACTCACAGAAGTGAGGGTTATACTTGGGAATGTTTGAAAATTGTTCCTTAGTTGGTGAGCTCTTTGGAGCAGGGGTCCTGGGTTCTTCTGTGTCTTGTCCAATTCTAAGTATTTCTTTATTGCAGAAAGTTTCAGAAATGAAGTCGAATTTATTTATACCATCAGCCTAGTATTTCATAATTAAAACTATGAAACTGTGTTGCCATTTAATTTAAAACACATTTTGAAGAGGTGGTAGCATTGCAGCATATGCGATTAGACTGCTGTACAGCATTTGCAATACTGTATCCTCTTTCATATTTATGATAAATCATGTTCTCTTGTTGTAAGGAGGAAGTGTGGGTTCCTCATGCTTGTGTAAGAGGCTTATCTTCCTATAAAGGCACACAAGTTGTGGAGCTGACTTTTTTCTAATCAGCCCTCAGCACAAGAGGAATTACTTACAATTGGTGATAACAAAATATGACCCCACAAAAATTATTTATTCCCATGTTTGTTATTTCAGTAACTGTAGATCAAGCTGGCTCCCATTTATGTGAAAAAATACAGACGCAAAGTCTGAAACCTGAACCTGGGATGTCTCAACTAACTTCTTCCCCTTCTTGCTTTGATATATGTAATACAGGTTTTGGAGATGTAACTACTGCTAAGCTTTTATTACCCATTTGACCCTGAGCTGTTGCAGGTTGTTTCTAGTGGGAAGGAAAAATTATGATGGAGCAAGATAGCTTTGATATTATCCTAATTATCCACAAAACTGGTAAAAAGTTCTGTTTCTCTGGATATTGGAGAAAGCTTTAATGCTCACAGCTTCCAAACCCTTTCAGATAGCACTCTGCCCAAAATGTAGAGTCTCTTAGGGTTGCACTCCCACTGGTTTAAACTATCTGATTCTTCTTTAATGTGTCGCCTCTCAGCTTCTCTGGTCTTTTCTGCCTCTTTCACAGACCTATAAAACATAGAAACAACCCAAAAACGATTTAAAAAATTCAAAAACGATAGTAGTGACATTTCTAGAGCCATGTGTACCTTGTATGTGGCTTTTGTTTGGATGGTAATATGTGCTAGTAGTTAGGGTGGAAGAGCTATTTGTTTCAGCTAGTTGGTTTCATAAATAAGCCTAGTTCTATTAATTTAAATTACTTGTTAATTGAAAGTAGCTGGATTCTTTTGGTTTGTAACCAAGAAAATAATATAGTCTGCTCTTACATAGTGGGATTTGGTTTGTGTGCTGAAGGTGTTCAATATAGTAAAAGCATCAAAATGTGCTGATATGACTTCACACACAAAAGGAGCAAAAGGCATCCTTCTGACCATCAGTTCAGACTTCTGTCTGAACACTTGATCAGACCTGGTCAAATGAGTTAACCATTTTTAACAAAACATCAGTAATTTCAAAATATACATCCAGGCTATTCTTGGGGGAGAGGTAAGTGGTTCCCCAACCTTTTTCCAAGAACTGATCTTGACTTCTGGGTCATTCAAAGGCTCAGATTTTGGTGAGATAATACAGCTCTCAAAATAGTGAACTTGTCCGGTCAGGTTTCTTTTACTTGCTTTTTTTCACAGCACTTCCTGTTGTGATCTTTTCAGTTCTTACAAATTAAGCTGCTTAATTTACCACAAGTGATTTCCCAGAAAACCCCAGGTACTGCAGGAAATGGTGCAGATTCTGTCAATTTTCTGTGATTGTCATTTAATGCATCAGCATGGTGCAAAATGACTGTGCTGTTGCTTCTGCTGACTTTTAGACAAAGTATGAGAGATCCTGAAAACTTGTGCATATAGCATTGGGTTAGCTAAATAACACTTTAGGCAATTACAGTCTTTCTAACTAGTAAGTGCCTCTTTACTTCCTGCCCTAAATTGTTGTGTAACACTGATATGCGTGATATGCAAAGGGGGGTTGCGCTTCAAAGCCAGATCAAGAGAGTTTTACAGTACAGATACCAGACCAAATATTGCCTTCTAATAGTTCTCTGGGATCACTATGAATGAAAATAATTATTGACATCACTGTCCCCAGTAGGGCAGATGCCTAATTCCTGACCATTGTTACAGCTGGTTCAGTTTTGCTGGCGTAGACAAGGTGCCAGCTATCACTAGCCTTTTAAGCACTGTATTGTATAGACTTTCTCTTAACAGTATTATGGTAGATGACCTGGTCTTTGTCATGTATCCCACATAACCTCTAAGGCTCCATTTCTTATACTTTATGAGCATATGATTTGAGCCTAACCTTGTAAGATGTTGAGACTCATGTCATTGCACACTGTCATTGTCTTGCACACTGAGGACTCAGCATGATTTTAAAAGGTGCACAGCATCTTACAGAATTGGGCCTTAGATCAAACACCAAGGTGTAGATAGTTTAGAGCAATGGCTAGAGGAGGATTGAAGGTCTGGGATCTGAGCCAGGATCAAAGTCTAAATAATAAGCCCAGGCTAGGCCCAGAGTCAAAATACTGAGGGGAAGGAGGGGGGTCAGGCTAGACAAATCAAGGCTGGAGCAGGCAGGAACTAGGGCAAGAACTGGAGCAGGCAGGAACTAGGCCAGGGCTTAGCCTTATCTGGGACACTCAAGGTTTGAAGGAGATCCTTGAGCAGATTCTAGCTACTCTAGCTCAACCTTTTTAATTTTGATTCTGAGGAAGAGGTGTGGCTGTATGGGGGTGCGTTTTCACAGGGGAGGTATGGCTATGTCATGTTGAAGGTATAGTTTTGCAGATACTCTGACTTCTTTGTACTTGCTCATGATACTTTGCACATGTTGTTTGTATGTATATTCAATCAATATACTGCAAACAGAAAAACCAGACAGCTTGGCAGGACATAGAAAACTGCAACAGGGTGAAACAGCCAGGGAAGTTTGAAGGACTATCTGTCAACTGTATGATCTAGTAGTAAATTTAAGCATGCGGTATGTCTTCTTTGATGGGCAGCTGACTGGGAGAAAGCAAAGGAGAACCTTCTGATGATTTAGCCTGCTTTGGCCAGGGGAATTGCTTTGTATTGTGGCACTTGTGAATTTGGTGGGTTCTTTCCTGGTCTAATGAAACAGCCCATCAGATATGTTTGGTATTGCCATATTCAGATGTTCAGAAATTATGAATTAGTTCCACAGAATCCTAACAGTGGCTTAAAAACCTCACAAGTTTCTTTAAACAAATAAAATATTTTTAACATTTTTGGGATTCTCAGCTTCTGGTCTTTGAGACTACACAATTGCAATTGGGCCACATATTCGAACTTCCCTTTATAATCAGGAAGATTAGAGATCTACTGTTTTTAAAAATAATGCCTGAGGTTATTACATAAGCACTATCTACAAGATATGGGGATTTAAGTACAGTGTTCAGTATTGTGAGCCGAGAGTGGGCAACTGTGTGTCTGTTAATGGAAATTGTGGATTTACGCCGAATAACTTACTTTTCATTTATTTTTAGACAACAATGAATGTGGAACATGAAATAAACCTCTTAATTGAGGAGATTCGGCGACTGGGGACCAAAAGTAAGTATTGTAATCTCATTGATCTTTGAAGCATAGTCATACTATATCAGTTTATGAACCTGGCAGCACTTGTCAGCCAAGCAAGCTTAAGCTCAGGTCTCTCAAAGACTATATATGATTAACTTTCAGTGGCACCACCCATAGTGGGATGCCTAGATCAGAAAGGTAAGCCAGTGCATAAACCAGCTCAGGATGGCACCTTTGGATGAAATCCTGGTCCCATTTGAGATCAATAGCAAAACTCCCACTGATATCAGTGGTGGTGGGATTTAACAATTGGTCTTTGGGTTGAAGTGTTCCAGTCTGAACCCAGGCAGTGTAGGAAACTGTACTCTTCCTTTGGAGTAATTACTGAACTAA